ACTAATTGGGACATTGACCAAATAGGAGCAAAGGTAATTTGGTGAAATGTATCCTTATGATTCTTAATATGGGTTCGTTGCTAGTGTTCCTATACACTAGAATTGATGGCTGGTAGGAAACTTGTAGATATTTTCTAGTTGCTATAGATTGCTGGTGCTTGTTCCTTTGCCATTTCTGTTATTAACCCTGATGATGCCAAAGTATGCTGCAGAATAGGGCTTAGTTATACTAGCTCTTCTCTTTCTTTCTTTCTTTCTTTCTTTTTCCTACTTAGGTGACTATAGCCTGTTGATTAGAAGCAATTGGTGGATTAGAAAGGCCTGATTGTTCTTGTTGCTAATACAAGAATAGTGAAGAAACAATTCTTCAGCTAATAAATTTTCATGCACTCAGGCTTCAGCTTATGGAAATGGCTTGTTAATTTATAGAACTCTTTGTTAATACACTTATATGATCTAATGCATGAAAATTAAGCAAGAATTCTATGGCTTAATGAGCCAATTCCATTTGAGGCAATAAGCTGTTTGGGTTTGACTGAAGTAAGCTTCTTTGTTGCCTGTGTATCACTTTTAGCTATTCAGCGACTATAATTTGAAAAATATATTTTCTCTCCTTTTTTTTCCCCATAAATAGCTTCCTTAACTATCTGACTTCAATCCTCTTGTGAAGTGCCACACCATCTGGTAGACATATTGGATCCATTTGAAGGTATGTTTCTGGTAACATCAGATAATGTCAATAAACCATGTTATGCATTCTGTTTATTGTAGACATTGTTCACCTTCCTAAGTTTCTGAAAGTTTCATTTTTCAATATTAAAAACTGAGTTTTATTCTTTTTATTAGTTCAGACTATTCTGTAGGACAATTTTTTGACGATGCCAGGCAAGCAACAAGAGATGTTCTTGACAGTGGCCATGTTCCTATAGTCACAAGTGGAACTGGCTTGTATTTACGATGGTATGTTCCTAGATATACTTTTGCCTAGGTGAGCTTTGTTAAGTTGCTGTGCTTCATCTTTTTCTTCAGTATAACTTCCTGATCTCTATAAACTAACCTCTTTGCAACAAAGTCTGCATTTTCTCTTTGATTCTCCTGGCTTCCTCAATTGGGTAGTGTTGCTTCATATTGTGCTTTAAATACTTTGTGAAGTGCATTTTCTCTTATGGTAATACTTCTTGTGATTTTATAGGCTGGCCTGGCATGTTCTGGTTGAATTTTCTTTCTCAGGAGTTATTGTAAAACAACATATATGGAGTTGTTTGCTATGATATCTCTTCTTTTTGCTGTTAGGTTTGCATATGGAAAACCAGATGTTCCAAAAGCTTCTACAGAAATTGCAGCTAAAGTACATGCAGAGATAGCAGATTTTGAGAGAGATGGGGAATGGGATGCTGCTGTGGAAATGGTGGTTAAGGCAGGAGATCCAAAAGCTAGGTCATTGCCTGTTAACAACTGATATCGATTTCGTCGCAGCCTTGAGATAATCAAGGTCAGTGATAATGGTTTAAAGGTCTTTGTATCCTCGCAGCCATTCGCGATCCCACCCCTTTGAGTACAGAGATGCATGGTGATGTTTGCATATAGGCCATGTCATGTATATTGCTTTGGAAAAAATTCATTTAACAAGAAACTCGTTATTTTATTTTTTATTTTTTGTTCTCTGAAACATCCTAATTTTGTCTTTGTAGTTCAGTGAGTTAAATATTGTGATGAGATTTTCTTCTGTTTGACTCACATATGAAGGGTGATAGCTCAGACATCTCCATCATATGTGCTCACGTTTCTTGATTGTATTTCTTGGTATGGCAGTCTACTGGATCACCTCCATCTGCGTTTCATATACCATATGATTCTTTCAAACAACAATTTGATTCAAGTGGAACAAATGATTCTCACAACTTGAACCCTTCTCGTGTTGTACCTGAGAAAGTTACCGCAAAGGAATTGGACTATGAGTTCATTTGTTTTTTCCTTTCAAGGCCCAGACTTGATCTGTATAGATTAATTGACTTAAGGTGTGAAGAATGCTCACAGGCAACCTGAGACTTAATTGTATAGCTTGTGAGCTCTTCTAACATAACATTTACAACTATGATTATTGACCCTACCATCACATGTGAATTTTTTACGACTGAATCTGTTACTAATCTTATATTTTATGTGGGCCATGGTTGTATTTTGATTGCAGTAGGAACAGATGGGATCTTGTCTGAAGCTAGATGGCTTCTTGATCTTGGGCTTAGTCCAAATTCAAACTCAGCAACTCGTGCAATTGGTTAGAGACATGTATGTCTTTGTTAACCGTATTGCTTTTCCTCTTCATTATGTATCAATCTCCAGGATATGCAAACGATGGCTAACTTCGAAATTCATTTCTTGA